GCAGCCGGCCTGGGGGAGACCTGCTGTCACACCACTTGAAACACTGGTTGATGGCAGTGAACTGAGTCCCAGTCCCACCTTGCCTGAGCAAAGGCACCACCAAGCTCCTCCTGTCTAAGCCTGTAACTAAAATTCCCACCAGATGCTCACATGGGGATGTTTCACATCTGGGTTATTTTACTAATGAGATACTTCTTTCCTTTACTCTTTCTTCAGTACCAGTTTTGCCACTGGGGCTTTACGTGTGCAGCAAAAAAAGCGAACTGAGCCCCCCCAAAAGTGTACCTTTTCTCTACGTCTGTAACAGGAAAGTGTCTGGTGGGTATTACAACAGGCTTCAGAATCCTCTACAGTTTACAGACTACGTTAGAAAACCACATCCATGCTTAGCAGACGCCTTTGGCGCAGTGTCTGATGCAGAAAGGACCTGAATAATGCACGAACTGTATCACAATAGTGCATAGAGACATGCAGAAATCATTCTTCCAAGGCACAGTCACACTGCCCAACATAAAACCAAATAATGGGAAAAGCCCCAAACAAGAACTGTTAAGGCCGTTGCAAAGAGCTCACCTCACACAACCCACGAGAAGCAGAGCTACCACGGGGCATGGAACCCTGTGGGATTCCCTGAGGCAACGGGATTTCCCTGTCAGCGAGTGCTCAGAGCCAGGCTCTGGTGGCTGCCGGCGGCGGACTCTGGCACAGTCTTCTCTGAATCCATTTCAGGAGGAGAAGAGGCTGATGCCTTGAATCATGACCCTCCTGCCACTCTGAGCACCTAGATTTGCACACATTCTTGTTCCCAAAGGAAAGGGCAAGGGGTGACAAACAGGGGAGCAATTGAAACGGAGACTTCTTGTACATAAATTCATACTTAAACCTCATTCAGAAGGGAAACGCTAAGACCAGTCAGAGAGAAAAGGCAACCCGCAACTTCTCTACAAGAAGCACGAAGACGCTTGCAACAACTCATAACAAATGGGCTATTTCATTTATTGTTTATTTCCCCACATAAATGAATCGGCCATCTCAGAAACTCCATCACACACAGGGCACAAAACATCATTTACAAGACGAACCTGTGTCCCCAAAATAAGTTTCAGGCGTATAGATTTAGAATGGGAACCAAGAGGGAAGGGAGAGGAGAAAACAAAACCAAGGACATCGCAGTCAGACTTTGACCTTAATTTACAGAAGAGATCTCTGGGGGGTTTCAACTATTGAATAAATGGCATCTTAAAAATAGATCATTTGACAGTTTCAACACGTGCATTATTTCTCCTAAATAAATAGGGCATGGAAATGGTTTCGCTTTGCTACCACAGCTGCCTCCTTTCCTTACAGGACTTCACCATCACCCGTTTCCCTTGGATTCATGATTTTGTTCCTCAATGGCAAATGTTATTTCCTCCACTATTACGTGTTTTGGTTTTAGTCATTCCTTCATTCCTTCATTCGCACTTGTTAAGACCTGATACAGGCCCAAGTGCAAATGATGAGCATCTTGCCTAACCCTTCACAGGCCTCTGAGCTGGCTCGAGGTGGAAACATGATGGCTTTTAAAAAATTAACTATTATTGAAACAGTCTCCTCCATGACCTGCAACAAAGCACAGCTTCCTATGTAGCTTGGTACAATCCTCAGATTGCTTTTGAAACGAAAGCCCCCAAATACCGCCCTGCACACCTGTGACATGAACTGCCCAGGATCCCATTTCCTCCAGTTCCAGGGGAGTTTGCTTTGGGAGTGGGAGCAGTCCTTGCATGACCACTGCCACACAGTAGCAGAGCACATGTGCCCTTTCCCAGCTGTAAAGAGGCAAATGCCAGTACATCTGCCTTGCCCAGGCGTCTTCTTACCAACTCTGCTCACATAATGCACTTGCATGAGCTTTCCAGGGCAGCAGATGATTGCCATCTGGGCAGCAAAGTGCCTAAAGGGCCGGCAAGGACAGGACCTGGTGCACCCACAGCTTACAGCAGGGGTGGGCAAGTGGCTCTCCAATGGGAACACGGTCTGGCAGCAGGGAGTGAGAGGGGTGTATGCAAAATTAGAGTCCCGAGGGGACCTGCGTCCCTGCTTCACCTTATGCTTACCCATAACTAACACTCTGCCAAGGCTCTTGCAGACTCCCACAGTGGTTTTCAGATTCAATAAAGCTTCCTTCCTCTTCCTCAGCCGGTGAGCCTAAAAATTGCTAAATTGCTTTGAAGACAGTCGCAAGGCGGCATCAACCCACTAGTATGGAATCGAGCTCCAAAGTGCATGTCAAGCCTTCAGGCTGGCTGGCCATCCCCATGCTTCCCGAGAACAAAACACTTAAAGCTGAGCCCCTCTCTGTCCCTGGCTCACCCAGAGCAGCCCAGGGAGAAGGAGCGCAAGTGAAGTTTGATAGGTAAAAGAGCGAGGGGGACACATGGACCTTCCTTCCACTGGTTAGGACAGCTTATCCCTGAAAGGCACTAAGGCACGCACACCTTTTGCTCTCCACTTTCGTGACCATCCAGACTACTAGCAGGTAATTTACACAATACTGCTGCACACACGCAGACCTGTTCCTCCATCCTGAAATCATGGGGAAAACGGAGCTCATCCTTTCCTGTAAGTACAGCTATTTTAGGACACCATTCTCTTCACCACTCCCACAGGTCTGTCCGAGACAGGGCAAGGGGTGCCAGAGGGGACCAGAGGGCTAAGGCACACTGTGAGATATGAGGAGGGCAGGATGCTGCTGCCACACAACAGGAAATCTTTGGGTAGAGAACGGTGTCCCCCTACTGAACACACAAGTGCCGCAGATGCTGCCCTCACAGTTACTGTCACCTGCAAAATCACATTTTCAAAACGCAGCCCCCAACAAGGAAAAAATTGCTTGCAAACAGCTCATTATTCCCTCGGGTGTCCCCTTGACAAATTCCTAAGTTGCTGGGCCCATCCTATAGTTTGGTTCAGAGAGAGCACATGAGTTACCTCCCACACGAAGGAGGTCCTACTTTGCTACCAAACCCTGCTTTTACATAGTCATTGACACCAACAACGGTTACAGGCAAATACCCAAACACAAAATTTGTCTTGTGTTCCACATTCAACCACTCAGCCCCTCCTTAGAGAGAAGCGATTCCTCCCCGTGTAAGCTCTCAGACCCAGAACAGCGTCCAAACAACCACAGTGACCCAGTACAAGCCGAGTACCCCCACTAGTCAAAATGGCAAAAAGCAACAGGACAAGGAGTCCTCAGTGTCAGTGATGTCCCTTCACCACAGCAGAGGCAGAGCTCTTTCCAACCACACTTCGTCATTTTGCCACCCCAACTGTGTTTGGCTTACAAGGTTTAAGCCAAACAAGACCCTAAGTAACACAGTTCAAGTGCTAAGAGCATGTGTGCGTGGCCAGAAGGACCAAAGCAGCGATGACTGGAGGGAACTTGCAGCACTGAAGGCGGTGGCTTTCCCCCAGTTCTCAGGACAGCGGGTGGCTGACAAATGCCAAAGGGTGAGGTCGGACACAGGCAAGGCAGTAATTTTTGCGGCTTTTATAAGAATGTAACGCTGCCCGGCGCTGGTGAGGGTGTTACTTGCCAATGCAGAGGTAAAGACAACAAAGACTGCACCTGTGCTTGCAATAACACTTCTCTCAGATGTCTTCTGTTCAAACAGCTGTTGCAAACACTGGGATGTTGCATAATAACCTCAGGAGGAAGATGTCCTTCTTGACGGCACTTCTTAATGTATAATTATTGTTCCACTGGTTATTTATAGAAATGTTTGTAGACCATCAATACATTGAGCCATTCAGACACTTCATTGCGCTTCGTTGTTTTAAAGGAAGGTGCCATCAACGCTGTGGCTTTCCTCCCCAAAACAGTTCAATGTTTTTCCAGTATACCCAGATCTATCCCACGATGATTCCTCTTCCTCTGCAGGCGCTTTGTAGCTGACAGTTCCACAGTTCAACACCTGAACAATCTAAGAATTCAATAAAGAGAGGCTGAGACTTTGAAAGTGCAAAGAACAAACAAAACCCCAAGGGCAGAAAACAAAAATAAAGAAATAATAATAATAGAAATAAGAATGATAGTAAGAAAAAGAAGTTCCAGGTACTTCAGAAGAAAAAGTTGTTCCACGTACCTACGACGTTCTTCCAGGTACCTACGACGCTGTTCCAGGTACCTAAAAAGTTCTTCCAGGTACCTAAGAAGTTCTTCCAGGTACCTAAGATGTTCTCCAAGGTACCTAAGAAGTTGTTGGAGGTACCTAAGAAGTTGTTCCTGGTACCTAAGAAGTTCTTTGAGGTACCTAAGAAGTTGTTCCACGTGCCTAAGAAGTTGTTCCTGGCAGTTAAGAAGTTGTTGGAGGTACCTAAGAAGTTGTTGGAGGTACCTAAGAAGTGGTTGCAGGCACCTAAGAAGTTGTTTCAGGCACCTAAGAAGTGGTTGCAGGCACCTAAGAAGTGTTGCAGGCACCTAAGAAGTGCTGGGAGGTACCTAAGAAGTGGTTGCAGGCACCTAAGAAGTGGTTGCAGGTACCTAAGAAGTGGTTGCAGGCACCTAAGAAGTGGTTGCAGGCACCTAAGAAGTGGTTGCAGGCACCTAAGAAGTGGTTGCAGGCACCTAAGAAGTGGTTGCAGGCACCTAAGAAGTGGTTGCAGGTACCTAAGAAGTGGTTGCAGGCACCTAAGAAGTGGTTGCAGGCACCTAAGAAGTGGTTGCAGGTACCTAAGAAGTGGTTGCAGGCACCTAAGAAGTGGTTGCAGGCACCTAAGAAGTGGTTGCAGGCACCTAAGAAGAGGTTTCAGGTACCTAAGAAGTTGTTGCAGGTACCAAAGAAGTTGTTGCAGGTACCAAAGAAGTTGTTGCATGCACCTAAGAAGTGGTTGCAGGTACCTAAGAAATTGTTGCAGGTACCTAGGTACCTAAGAAGTTGGTCGAGGTACCCAAGAAGTTGGTCGAGGTACCTAAGAAGAAGAAGTTGTTCCAGCTACTTAAGAAGAAGAAGAACAACCAACTTAAGTAACTTGAGCACCAGTTAAGGCATGTTGTTTTCCAGTCTCAGCCAGTGTAAACCCTGTCTAACATAGCGGACTAGTCTGATCAAGCTGCTGGTCAGTGACAGCTCCTCCGATGCTGCGCCGAGTTCCCCAAAAAACTCTGGAAAAAAAAAGAGAGAAAACATTTGGTTGGTTTCACACAAGAGGCACGGAGGAACAACAGCAGCACACTGTCACTTGGGAAGTCCCGTTAAACACATGGTTAATACAGACAGTTCAGCGGTATTAGAAGGCTGGGAAGTGTTAACAAGCACGCACGGCAGGGCATACGAGAGGAAAAGGCACTCGCGTGTGCATACACACTGAACCACCTCCCCCAGTGCCTGTAAAAGGACATTGAGACTCCACGGCAGAGGGCAGAAGTCTGGGTGTTCACACCCCAGTCCCTGCCACATGCTCCTCCAGATGTTGAACCGGCCAGATTTGACCGTCTTTCTGAAGGATGCCCAGAAGCACACACAGCTGTCAGAACAGCCCTTTCCTTTCATCCATCCTCAAACCCTGGAGCCATCACGATTTCTCAACTGAACAGGTTTAAACATTTCTAAGGCTTGACAGGCTATACAGCTCTAATTTGAGTTGCTTTTAGCTGGGCACTTGAGGCAGGGTTAAGGTAGTGCTCCTATCCTCCCACCAACTTCAGGCACCATGCTCCTTCTCCTGCACAGGTAGGAGACGGCTCTTGTAGCCTATCTGAGGCTGCTGGGAGGTGCCGTCAGGCCGCACACCCTGCTCTGTACTGGCAATCTTCTCTGCAGGTGACAGCAAGTTATGGGAAATCAGCCCACCTGTTCCTTTCCGGTCACCTTTCTGAGACGTTCCTGTAGGACCTGCCTTCCAGTGACATGGGCTTTTCCCAGTCCCTTAGTCCCTCCAGTCTCAATCATGTTGCAGAGTATCTTTCGGCTCTTGTTTTTTACACACAAAGATTGGAGGCTGAAAATTTCTGCTCAGCTGTGTAAGGAACATTTCGGGAGTATTCTCTGAATTCCAGCCACTGCCTCGTTAGCGAATTTTTACAACCTTCCAGCAACTGAGCCAGGCACATTGGTCTTTTTGGGTTTTTCTGAGTTTGCCAACAGATTGTGACACTACACCCCTTCACCCACAGCAGCTCAGAAAGCTGTGGTTTATGGAAAATGACTGCAATGGCTGCAAATGCCACGTGGAATAGCAGGTTACACACTGAAGGCACCCAATCTAGGGCTTTTGAGCATTCACCGCTGCTTGTACCTGTCGCGGCACCACAGGACAGTACAATCTTTTTAACAATAAAACTGTAAAACACAAAAAGTAGCAGCAATGTCAGGAGATGCTACCGGCAAATACTGATCATGTGCCCCAGAAGAACTCCAGTTCAAGGGCAGCTCAGCCTCTCTGTTACAGGGTGATGCCAGCCCCACTGCTCTCAAGACAAAACTACCTGGAAGATTGACCAACAAAAGCACAGGGCTGCAGGCCAAAATGTTTCTAGTAAAAGTGAACCCACTCAGCAAACCTAAGCATCCCAAAGGGAAAAGTAAAGAGCAAAAAACTCCTTATGCCTCTTGTGTTACCAGGAAATGCGAGTTGGCTGGTTCCCTGCACTTGATACGCTCACCCCTTAGCTCTTAGACATTTGAGGATGCCGAGCCAACCTTTAAATGGCAACACTCATCAATATATCATCATCTGGCATCTCTGCCAACATGCCATAGCTGTCTGTATGTAATGCTTTGATCTTTAGGTATGGTGCTTGCTACACTGTTAGAATTTAGGCATGCACATACGTACAAACACAACACAAAAGACAGAAAAGCCAGAGGGCAAAAGCTTACCCTGATTCTTCAGGATCAGTGCATCAGCTCGCTCCCAATTATTAAGCGCAGAGAGAACATAGGAAGTGATGTTGACGTAGGAATAGGTGATGTCTGGGATATCGGAGGAGACGGTGGTTGAAGAGCACATACTGTTGCGACTGCAGTTGCCAGCTCCCCGCTGAGAAGTGGTAGGAGACGGCATTGGAAACGATGGAGAAGGCATGCCTGTGCTCCTGCAGGAGAAAGAAACACCATCATGAACATTTAACTTTCGCTGCCACATACACAGCAACACTGCTGCAGATACCTAGAAAGGACAACATGCTCTAGAACTCACAAATTAGAAAATGAGTTTCTTAATTGGTGACTGAGCTAAAGTGACAAATATTCAGGTATCACCTCAAAGTTATGCTGCCACAGGGTGAAGGCACGACCCTACCGGACAGTGGCCAGGAAGACAGGAAGGGTATCTCACTAAGTATCAAAGGATCTCTAACAGAACAAAGATGACAACAAGGGCTTTGAAACAGCCTAGTGATGATACCTTCTTTGCTCCTCTGACCACTTCTTTGGTAAAGACCTGCTCCGCCTGATACACGGTAACTCTGGACCTCGTAACAAAGAAAACCCCTTCCCAACAAGAAGAGGTGGGAAAGAGAGAGCAGAAACATACTCATGGCCCCTAACAATAGATTTCAGGTGGCAAGAAAGAGCCAATGGAAAGGCACTCTCACATGCAGCTTGCAACTCAAATACTCCAGCTGCTGTTTTCACTCACACCCTTATGGGCACATTACAACCCATGTATTTTCAAATCTTACCTTGCAACAGACGGAGAAGGTGCTTTTGTGGGAAATCTCTGCAGCAAGAAAAGAACTCTTGTTAGATTTGGGCTGCTCAGCTGCCATCAGTAACTAGCGCAGCCATGCATCTGGCAGCTCAGTTACGCGTGCCCTACCTTGAAGTGGTCGTTCAGAATGCTGGAATACTTTGCTGCAGTCTCTTTTTTGCCACGGAACAGGGCCATGTTCAGAAGGGACAGGCAGCGCATGCTGTCAACAGAAACACACCCAAGCTTGGTCAATATTCACGCTTGCTGCTGCCTGCTCAGCAGTCAGCAGCCTTGCGGGACGCAGGCAGGCATGCCTCAGCTCTACTGCAAAGTCCAGAAAGCTCGGGATTTCTCCTCCTTCTGCCTATCTTTAAAAAAGTCACTGTGAAATAATCACAAGGGGAAAGAAACCAAACGAGGGCGGGGTCTGGTCTTTCATATAAACAGTGCCACAGGCTGAGTAAGCCCCCCTGCAGCCACGTGCCTCAGCTACGTTCAAGCTACAGCTTCAGTTAGGTGGCTCCAACATGAGCAGCCAAATTGCATTCTTTCACCTTAGGTGAAAGCCCTTAGGTGCTCTCGAGTTACCAGAATATCAGATTTTAGAGCCTGTGCCTTCCACGTGTGGTCCCTTGTGTTGTCCTGGCTCACACTAGAGGTGTTCCAGTTCAGTCTGGATTTTCAAGTGTGAGGATTTCTTCCTTGCAGAACCCTGATTCCCATTTCACTCATTCCTTTTCCCCTGAAAGTAATGAGTCGTTCACTCGATCAAGTCTAAAAAGTACGAAGGCACAGAAAAAGAGTTACGCACCATAACACGGTAAAGATTTCTTCCTGTGAAGGTGCTGAGGGGCTCATACAGTATTTTAGCGTCATGATGAATCTAAGGAAACAAAAGAAGGAGAACCTTGTCAGCCGTCAGTGATCTGCTGGCCCGCTCTTTATAGGAGAAAACAGTGCATGCCATTATCTCAAAGGCTGGTCCAAAAGTCAGGGAACATGCCCTGAGGTCTTAGTCCTGGCACCAAGTGCTTTTATGACCTTGAGCAGAGGACTGTCTCAAAACGCCTTGTTTTCCATGCCACAGGAACAGATAACGGCCTCTTATGTGACTCACTCTCCTCTTACACGATTAACAGGCAGCACCCCTTCAAGTAGATGTTCCCCATGGGCCACCTAATGGCCTGGGGCAGACATCTCAGAGGAAATGCGTCGCTTGGTAAAACACAGCCAAGCAACTCTGCTTTCTGAAAGCAAAGCAAAGCAACAGCAGCAGCTGGGAAATACAGTCCTTCAAGAGGAGAAAGCAAATAATTCCTTTTAAAAGTTTGCAGGCTATGACAGAAAAACCTGACAGCTGTTTCAGCTGTGAGGCAAGGCATCAAATCAACTCTCAAACACACTCATACATCCCCTCATTTCAATAGGAATAAACTGATACCTGTCTCCCTCCTATCCAATACATGGTTCCTCAGGTTGTGCTGCCTGTACATGTCACACGGCCCGTGTATGTCATACTACCTGCATATATCTACTATGGCTCTGAAACTAAATGGGGAAGGTTGCTAAAAGAAGCCCCAATAAAGCATACTGGTAGAAAAACACATGGCAGAAACCAGTAAAGTCTGCCTTCAATCAAGTTGCAAGACCTCTGGGGCACTGACTGCTCTTCCACATGCTGTATTGCTGCTTTGCTTTTTAAAACTGAAATGCTACTGAGCTCGCATGCAAAAGCAACTTCAGGTCTGGATAAAGGAAAAATCCCTTCATGCCCTTTCTTGTCAGAACCGGTGTTCTCTGGTGTACCTCAGCTGCAAGGCTCAAATGCTCAAGAGGACATGGCGCCTACGTCTTCCGATAAGCAATGCTGAACCATTTCAAAGGATTTGTCTCTGGTGCCTTTGCATGGCCTGTCTCGTGCTTGTACAGCAACCTGAACTCTGCTCCATGGTGGGAACCCACAGCTGCCACAGGTGCAAACAAGCAATGCAACTAACCCTTCCCCTCCAAACATGCTGCTTTGAAAACTGCTTACTTGATGAAATCTGTGGTGTCCTGGAATATTTTGTAGGCGAAATTCTGTGCATTCGCTTCCAAGGCAATTCCGTACTCGATGAAGAAAAGGGCAGATTCTAGGTACTGAAAGGCCTTCGCAATCTTGTCAGTCTATTGGGAAGAATATTCTCATTTTTAGACTACGACAAAAATGGCTTAGTGTACCCAAATGTCTCAAGTGTACCCACATTCCCTTTTTCTCCCTAGTAAGTCAGGAGTTGAAGGAAGAAAAAGATGCGGGCCAGGCCTCCAGGTGACAGTTAATGTGGTCTGGGTGTGCTCTGGCTGTTTGTAGCTCTTCCTCTTGACCAATGGTTTCCCCAAGTATTTATTATCTGTACAGTTTTTGGATATTACTGTCTGGTCTTGGAGGCCTGCCTCATGAAAGGCAGGTTCCCTCACTTCATTTTCACAGGTAAATGGCAAGTAGCATATGTAACTTATCTGACTGAGGCCTAACTAGCAAAAACTACACTACTTCATGTACACTGCTAAACTGCACATAAAGAAGAGAGCTGCTTACATCTGCAAAGGGAACTTCCAAGTCTTGTCCACCAGCAACACAATTACTGTCAGGATCGTGACATTGCAGGGTAAACTGTCCTATAACTGTTCTGACAAGGGCTTTGTCATAGCTCTGCAAAGCAAAGTGGCCTGCTAACCTCAGACAACATCTGCTCTAAATCCTGTTCTTGAGGCATGTTCTCTAGATGTGTTTATAACAAAGGGAAATGTCTGAACATTTTGGGAAACAAAGACAGCATCCCCACATATGACTTGAACAGACTCCAAGTTTGGAGTATGGGAAGTCATTTTAACTGGTGAATCCTTATGCACATGAACACAAATACTGGCTCCCAATGCATGAGCTGCTTTACATTTCTAGCACAGAGCCAAAACTTACCATTGCATCAGCTTTGTGTTTCAGCCTCCTGGCCTCTTCTGCGTAGTATTCTGCTGGATACTTCAGATGTCTGAATTTGGGACACAGAGAGGAAAAACAGAAAACAGGGAAAAGGCAGTGGGATAAACTGTTCACCGTGCAAATGGCACACAACCAGTCGTGCACTAACAAAACGAGCAAGTAAAGAGTCATGCCCTCTCAGAAAAAGTTACCTGCCTGCCCAGCACCTTGTCACAGAGTAGTTTACCACTTGCCAAGAAGGAGGCAAATCAAAACCTATCATTTGTAGGCAGGCACAAGAGGTACCTCCTCTCAGAGTGAAAAAGTAACTAATTTCTAGAGTAGTGCTTCTAGTCCAAGAAATGCTGTAATTAGACCTTTGCTTTGGGGTAGGTGGGGTAAGTCCCAGACATGAGAAGACAGTACAGGGCAAATCGCCGACACCTCTCCTTCTCTCTTTCCTCCCCAGAGAAATGCCTATTAAGGCAGAAGCCAGGGTAGCTGCAGGGCCAGGCTGGCCTGGTTCCTTTACAAAGTACAGATGACGGGTGTAAGACAAAACCTTACCTTTCAAACTTGAGTTGAGGTCTCTTTGGCTGGGAGGTACCATTTGGCAAAGAAGGCACTGGGAAAAGTTTTGTGACGTGTCCGGCAGATCCCTGACAAATCACAGAATACAGATAAATCTGCTTAGAGAGATGTCGAAAACGATTCCAAAGCTTGCCTTTCCTGAATTTCAATAGGAAATATTTTTTTGTCCCAGGCATAGTCTATCTCCCAGGCTCTACCTGTCTTCTAACCTACTTCCCCAGCACCTCCTCCAATAATGGAAATGAAAACCTGGCTTCTTACCTGACTGCTAGTAGAAAGGCTTAATACCATTCACATCATTAATACTTTTCCCAAGCATGGGGAAATTAAGTAGCAGCTTTCCTTGCACAATGGCTAAGATAGCAGTAAGGCTGCAAGCAGCACATTTTTCAGGAAACCTTTCACTAACCAAGGCAGCAAGAGGTAATATCCATTCACACTTATTTCCAGCTTAACCACAAAATCGTTGATTCTCCATTACCAACTACATTATAAGGAAAAAGCAAGCAGTTAGAAGCCAGCTGAGAGAGCGAGCACAGTCGGGCTTGACTCACACAACATACTAGAGCACACCCACCCAGTCACTAGTAAATAGGAAGACAACTGAATTTTACAACCCAAAAATGCAAAGATCCAGCTGCAAGGATCACTAACAATTTCATAAGCAAACTGTGAGGATGGTGAGGCACTGAAACAGGTTGCCCAAAGAAGTGGTAAATGCTCCATCCCATCCCAAACCATTCTATGATACTATGAAAACCTTACACGCGGGTTGTATGTTTCTTATTTTTAAGCAGCCCACTTTTCCCTTTTGTAAACACCCTTATTTTACACCAGTATTGTACTTGCAGTTGCCTACAGTCAGAAACAGTTACTGCCATCAACACGATGCCTTTGGTTTTTACACGGGCACCTCTTCTCACTAAGCTCCACTAAATGAGATGAAAACAAACGATGGCAAGTCAGCAGAGAAGTTACAGTGTAGGCTTCTGGGCTAGTGACGTACGGTTACAGATAGCCGTGAAAGGGGCAAAATGCCTCAGAGAGCTTTCTCTGGTGGCTGGTTTATCTTCTTTCCTTTTCTATATCCTCAGAGCATGTTTCTAAAGAGAATCACGCAGCACCCACGGGCTGCAGGGAACTTCCTGTTAGTTATAACAGATACCTACCTTGATATCCTTTGATAGTTCAGCTTCATTACTCTGCACTTTGCGGTGCTTGCAGATCAAAGGATCCTTGTTATTGCTCTCGGTCTTGGTTGTGTTGTCGATGGCAGACAGCTCGTCGTTCTGGCTTCTGCGTCTCTTCTGGGCCACCTTTGTTGACTTTGGTGCAGGAGGTATAGGACACAGTGGTGGCAGTGGTGGAGGTTGAAAATCTTTCTTCCAGTATTCATATGAAGCCTTGGAGTTTGATGCTCTGGAGACGGGAAGAGCATTCAGCAATTGGGATGAATACGGTGCATCAATAATGTGGTGAATTTTTACAAAATTCGTTGCATTATGTACCGATGATGCTGAAATCTCTCTGGAAGTGAAGATGACATTAAGAATCCAACAAAGGCAAAATGAAATTTCAGTGTGCATTAGATACCACATCTTCAGCTGCTAACAACAGACAAGCGAGTTGCGTTTCAAGTAGAATTAAGCCCCAGGACTTGTCCTTGGAATACAAATTTATAACCAGGATAGCAGGATATTGCAAAAAAGGCATCCCTCCAACACAGCCGCTTTTTACTTAAAGACAGAGACAGTCAGTTCTCTAGGAGAAATCAGCCAACAGGGCAAATAAACTGCAACACTGCCTCTCTTGCCCCATTACAGTAGGAGGTGTCTTCTATGGTTACAGATACTCACCCTGACACTTGATCCTGTACACACTTGGACAGAATTAAACCGAACTGTTCCTTTAAGACTTGCCTGCTCAACTAGACAACACTCACAAGACTGAGAGGGTTCAAGTCAGAGATTTAAAATGTTGCACTTTTTGAATGGCAGGGACTATCACATTTAAGAATATGGTGGCATAGCAGATTTCTGATCATCTGAAGTTAGCAATACAAGGGAACTCCGGCAGCTCGAAGCAACACCAAATAACTCTAAACCTTGTTTCACAACTGCTCCTTTCCATCACTTTGATTCAGCTTCTCAAAGTTTACACAAAAATACTCAGCAGTGCATTCCACCTCAGGGACTGCAACATCACAAGGAGGAAATTAAGCTAAACCCAGAGAAAAGACTGAAGTGTAACGTTGCGCATCTGGCTTCATTCTGCTGTGCATGAGACAGTCCTCTCCCCTGCTCCACAACCCACTTTTCCCATGGCACAGTCCCTACTCACTGCACTCGTGCTCCCTAACTTCACTGCCTTGTTACAGCTCCAGAGAGGATTATAGCACAGCAGCACCCTCTGACCTGATCCAGTGCCCTCTCTCCTCCAAAATACATATTCTCCTTTCACTCCCAAAGCCGGAACATGGGGTTTGCCTTCACTGAGAAAAAGGGAGGAATGAACCCCAGTGTCAAAGCCCCTCCGTTATTACACCAACTGAAATACCACCCAACTAAACGTTAGCCCAGCGTTTCAGCGCTTTAAGAGTACGTCTCTATTTTCTCGGCAGAAAAGCAGATTACTCGTATTTTCAGGCCACAAACCTCAACACTATACCAATCCAAGGCAATGCCTCAAATTCAAGCCACAAGCAAGAATTTAATGCAGTAGCCCATGACTGATGCGCAAGCCTCCCATTTGAAGACATGCGCCTGGAAGCATTTGCTCTAGCAAAGATCTAGCCAAAATGCTGGCAGCACAAATTAAGCAAATTATATAGGCAAAATCTCAGTACATCCATTAGAAGCACTGCAAACGCTATGCTGGAATAAAGGAGAAATTCCCGGCCATAAAGGCCCCCTGAAATTCCAGACAGAGTCATGATTCAAAACACACGCTTGTCTGCCCATTAAGTCACAGATACAAAAAGACAAAACCAACAAGATGATTTTAGTGGAGAAGGGAAATGCTCGCCACCTGCCTAGAAAGCATTTTAAGGCTACTTCTGTTTCTCATGAAAGCAGAAATAATGAACTCTCTGAGAGTTCAAACATCACAGAATAGAATCGTAGTTTGGTTTGGAAGGGACCTTTAACACTTGTCTAGTTCAACTCCTCTGCAATGAGCAGGGGCATCTTCAGCTAGACAGCAAGTTCTCTTGCCATCCCCTGAAACACCTCAACTACCATGCAGAACAAGCAGATGCCACTCCCCATAGAACAGCTAACACCCCCCAGATCATCTAGAGCAATCACCTGCTGACAGATTGCCTCCACGGAGGTTTGGAGAAGGGGAATGACTCCTGCATCCCAGCAGGCAGGCAGTCTACCGCACTGTATGGAACTCAACCAACAAATCTGGTTGGCACAAATATGTTTCCTGCATCTGGTCCAAAAGGCAGCAGCGCAAATGGTTGCCTACCAGCTTAAAAAGACAAGCAATATGGGCACAACTGGCAATTACATTTCCTGCAGCGTAAAGAGATATCCCGAGCTACGCGCAATACACGGATCAGAGCATACGGTAACGGAAGCTGCAGGATGGGAAGCATTTAAAATCATGTCCATCTCGACGGTTAGAAATCTGGACAAATGCCACAACATTCAACGCTTGTGCAGCAGCGAACAGCATGAATGGGAGGACGATCGGCCACTGCAACATCAGCTTATTCTTGAATGGTTAGAACCATAATCCTCAGCATTAAGAAGGGATCGGAAACAGGTGACACCCAAGTATCACTTCACACCTGCAACAAATAATAAGGTGAATAAATTCCATTCCCACAGCCACCTGGTGGGTTCCAGGAGTTAAAGACAAATCTTCAGCAGATGAAGCCTCAGGAGGCACATTACGTTATAAGCAAATGTGTGAGGACAGAAGATACAGTTCCTTGTTTAAGACACACTCACTTTCGTGCATCTTTCTGCCATTCCACCACCGTATACTCACTTCAGTTTCTTGGAGTCTTTCTTAGGTGAAGAGTTCAGTGATTTTTTTTCTTTCTCTGATTTCAGTTTCTTCCTATTCGTCTCTTCGTCCACCGCTTTCCTCTAACAGGAAGAAAGAAAACCAAATCACTCAGGTTTTTAAAGTTCACGTAAAGTATAAACCAATGCAGCTAAGTTTGATCAATTCTTGTTAGAAGTATTGAAAAGATAGTGGAACCAACAAAGTGGAAACCCAGACCACAGCAGATACAGATTTCAGGTTCACTGAGCAGTATCCTAAGATGACATTTTATCTCCTTCTGCTTGGATATTTTGTAGTGGCAGAGACGGAACTGCTCAACCTCTTGCGGCTAATAGTAATCAAAATTAAGGCACTTCCATTGCTCAAAATAAGCATTGCATCTGTTCTGGCTGGGCTTTTTTTCTTCTACTTGGTATGAATTATACAGAAATGTATTCAGATTCCTCCTGATGTAGTCATGTGATAAGCCTCCAAGGACAGATGCATGCTTACATAATACAGACAGTGAGGCTCTGAGGGGGGGGGTCCTGAAGTCAGACGCTCAAGACTGCCAGGCAGGACATGTCTAAGATCAAACAGCTCCTGCCTTGGGTCTTCTGAGGCAGCAGGAGAAGTGACAGATTTACTGCCTCTTCACCTTTCCCCCACTGCTCTGCACAAGGGGGACTGCTGGGGTCTCTCAAATTTCTTCACGATTTCCCCACCCTCCTGAATTCTCCCCTACAACTATGGGAAGTTCAGAAAATGCCAAGACTAAACTAAACCCACATGGGAACCAGGCTTATTCACCTACACATGCTAAGCTACCCGCTTGGTGCGGACCACCAAAAAGGTATACAGGCACAGAAATATCCATAGCGAATACCCATCCACCATAAGGCTTGCAGCCAACTTTCTCTGTGCCTGCCTGGAAGCTTATTCACAGTCCCCTTTGGGAGATAGATAGCTTTCCAAAAACCACTTGTGAGCAATTACTATCTTTGCTAAATAAAGGGCTGCCTTTAATTCAAAGGAAAGCAACTATTACAGCAGAAGGACTCTGCAAGGATGTGTCTGGAAAGCCCCTTACTGGACATACGTGTCTTTTCACGTATGTCTGTTCACTGCTAGAACCACGACAGCTCCAGGGAAAGCCAAAGAAACCTTCTATGTATTTATCCAAGCACTGAGATCCAAAGCAGGGTTTAGGGATGGTTGTTACTGTCAGTGAACCTGCTTCAGTTAAAAGCCTGCATTTATGGAAAAGCAAAAGGCACGAAGCTTCTACCATCGCCCCTAAGGAATAACACAGTTCAAGCCTGCAGAATTCCTTTCTCTTTGTGTAAGCAAGCAATCACAACTGTTTCAGACTACTCCACACAGGAAAAGGCTATGCTACTCAGACTGAGGTTACTTGGCTCATGGCAGCAGAAGGGGCACCCATGGACAAAACTGAAAAGCACAAACTGGGATGGCTGGGTTAGTTCTTCGGGGCACCCCCCCAAACTGCAGACAAGGTGCTCTCCCACAACAGACATTAAACGGGTAGCACAAATGACTGCACACTCTAGCAGGCATTTCAGATACTGTGCTGCTTTTAAATGGGTTGCAGGGAGAAGGGTGGGCTTACCTTGGTTAGGCAGTTGCCAGGCTGCCACTTACTGGAAGTTGGTGGGTCAGGCTGCAGGCAAAAAGAGAAAGGAGAGATGAAAGACTGAGGTCTTCATGAGCTATTTTCCTTCTAGCACAGCTTACTAGAACCCAGGAAAATTTCCTCTTTCAACTGTTTGAAAGAGCTTGAGAGACCATGAGACCGTGGGGATGTTCTAGCATGTGCACATCGACATCTGCTTCAGAAACACGGACCCCATTTCTCCACAGGATCAGTCAAACGTCTTGCACAGCACTCCTGGATCACTGCTAGCCCTGCCTGTCACTCACTAAGACACCAGTCTACATGAAAGCTTCATCTTTGTTTGCCACTAACCAACCCTGCTGCAAACTGAGACAACATCTATAAAGAGCGTCAACTGTAAAAACAGATTAGGTGCTGTCCTCGCAACGCTTGCGCAAAACTTCCTGCACGCAGCACTGCTTTCAAAGCGACAAGAACCTGTGCCAGCTGTCACACCTCTCTGCAGTCTGACAGGTCGGCTGTCAGGCTCCTGTGGTTTAACCATGAGAAAACCATTTACCAGAATTGTATAGCACATCAAGTCCGGCCTCTTCCCACTCCTCTGCCTACACAGCCCAACACACGCTTCCCTCCCTCCGCATCAAGCAAGGCATAAGCAATGGCCGAGGTCTGAAGGCCTCTGGAGTCAGTCAGATAACGGAATGGGATTGCTACAAGCCCTGCCTAATCTAATAGCAGTCTGACATATTACAGTAAAGAAAACTAACTAAAACCAGACAACAGAAGCTGCAAATCAGACACAATTCTCTGGGACCCATGCTGAAACTACCATGTGTGTGTCAGCATCACTCAAATGTGTAGCTCATTGTCTGGTCACCAGAGCACAGCTATGCTCTTGCCCACATCAGTTCTCCTCAGTCACAACTCTGCTTCCAAGAGGAACCACAGTTCTTCTCCAAAAAGACAGCCTCTACTACATGAAAGGTTTACCGAGACTCCTGGGTCCCTTCCGCTGTGATTTTCTTCTCTATCCACATTCAACTCGCTGTAGAACACGTCGATAAACAAGACATGTCCTCAACTTTCTTTGAGTGAAACTACCTAGAAAACCGGTTTAAAACCCAGTTTGTTTCCCCATGGGTTTAGGGGTTTTCATTAGGTTTTCCAAACACTAGACTTCTGTTTAAGAAGAAGAAGGAACTATGGCCTGTAGGTCAAAGTCTGTGCTTTTGCATGGGAAGAACTAACTATAAACAAACAGGCCGTGTGCACTAACTTGCTCCTCGAGCATCATGGATGAACAGTTTGCTGTATAAAACAAGGATAAACCATCAGTGGCAAATAGCTGATCATTGGCAAACAGTGGCAAATAACTTCACTGGAGCAAGAAGGGTCTTTCAATGGAGGGTTCTCAGGACAAAGCAGGCAGCATTTGGTAAAAGAAGAGAAGCACATAACATCTGCTTCCTTCCAAAGACGCCCACGTTGCAAAGGGCAAAGTCTGTAACTGAACTGCTGGATGGTAAAGCACGCAGATCAAAGATGAGAAAGATACTCCTTTTCAAAGTCTGTTTTCTGCACATAAAATTTTCCCCGTTGAGGTGCTTCTCAGGTAAAAGACAGGAAAGCTAGGGCTGGCGGAGGGGGAAGAAATAAATTATAGGGTTTCTGGGGTTTGTGAGAGCACCTCAAAACTGTCAGCAGACTGCTTACATCAGCTGTGGTCCATAGGATATAGGCATGCGCTTCCCTTCCCACTGGCCTGAGAACGTTTTGCAAGCTGGAGGAACTGTCTGAAACCATGGGACACGAGCACTTCCGCAGCAGACTTTTAGAAAATGCATGCTCTCAGTAATGAAACCTTAAGGCACCACATTCTGTCTGCTTTTCCCAATAAAAGCCTCAGAATTGCCAGTGCAGCACTATCTGAGCCAAATCCAACAGAAGCAAGTCTAAGCACATTCCAGCCCTTCCTGCAGGTCTGATCACTTCAGCTGCAATCTGGGAGAAGCTCAATCTGTCACTTGTGCACAGGAGCTGCACTGAGAGAGGGGCTCCTCTTAACCTATCAGGAAAGTGGTCTTATCCTGAAGCAGTCCATAGCTTTAGCACCCAGAAAAGCCCCGTGAGCAGAGGTGGGTCCCAGACACCCCCAGACGAGCTGTGCTGCTCATCTGCGCCTTCTTCCTTATGTTTTGCCAGTGAAGTCACTAATTCCTCAAGGAGTGCTAGACAAACACTTCAAGGTTAAGCAGGTAAAACTCTAATTATGCTGTTAACAAGGGTTATAGAATTGATCAATTCTAGAAGGGGAGCAAAGGGCAGGAAAAGTCTGATGATGCAGCATAGACGTCACAGGGACACCTGAGCCATGAGAGGATTTCAGGTCTCCTGTCCTGGCTGCATTCAGACAGCGGGGAGGCTGAGGCAAGAGGCTGTATTAAGCAGCCTCTGCATTTTATCTGCATTCACCTCAGGCGCTGACGCTCTCAAAGGTTCCTTGGCTTCACTGCCACTTGTCTCTGAGTCTGAAGAGCTGTCTGAGTCACTGGTGCTCCCTGAGTCACTGGTGCTCCCTGAGCCACTGGTGCTCCTTGACTCCGAGCTGCTGGAATGTGCTGATGCTACAGTCTTGGCCTGGGACTGTTGGACACTGCAAGGCCACCATGAGATAAAATTAGAAAGCAGCATAGGTGAAGTTTCTTGTTATATTGACATGACAAGATTCAAAACTAAAACTGAAACCCCTGTTTTGGTACTGAGACGAGAAAGGATAAGGCCAAGGAATACAGTGCCATGCTCAAAAGATAAAGCACCGGAATAAAAAACCTCTAGAAGTAATAAAACCTCCAACTCTATAACCAGGTCAGAGAAATCTCTGAGCAGGACTGCTGCAGTCTGCAGCTGCATTTAGCCAACTGAATTTTAAAAAGGAACCAAAACTGGCAAGTGCTCTTTTGAAAGCCTCATCCCTCAAAAGAAAAGGGTGCTGTAAAGGCTAATGACACAGAAACATCCACGCCAGGATGATTTCTCTTTTCTATATTCTTCCCATAAAGTTTTCAATTCATCTGTGTTACTTGGGCAAGGTGCTGGAACTGCTTCTTTAACAACCACGTCCAGCACCAGCAGTTTTTGCAAGACTCTCCTCTCTTCAGGAGTGTTTTCCTCCAGCACTGGCAACAGGAGTGAATGGAACTGAGGAAGAGCCATGACTTGGATGCAGTCCTTTGTTTCGAAATGGGCTTGTGAATATTTTTTTTTCTCTTTGAAACTTGTTCCATACGTCAGAATCAACACATTTGTATGGATTGGAGGCAAGTTTCTTGAAAATCTTGAAAATTCTGTGCTTCTCAACTTCTTGTAATACTGGCAGGTGGCCGTTACGTCTACCCTAAATATTGCTTCTGACTAACAATACATGGCAGGAACTACTTATAAGGAGCTGCCTTATCAGGAGGAGCTGAAACAGCCTCCGTGAGTCTACCCAACGCTTTTCCGTTCTTCGCCTGCTTGGCTGTTTTGGGCTTCCTTCTAAACTAAAACTGGACTCACACCTCACCCAGCACTACTACAACTGAGAACCCCCTTGGCTCCAGGGTGATCTTCAGATACTCTGGTGGAGGGCAAGAGAACTTGGGGAAATATAATTCTGGTTGATAAGAAAAATCCAGCATGCCTGGATTATTCATTTCTCATTGGAGCTTTCTGTAAAACCCCATACAACTAACGCCAATTTTCAACAGCAGCTTCGGGCAGCTAGAAACCAAATCCTGTATCTACAGGAGAAACAAGGAACCCCTTACCCATGCACCCCATATATTAAGACGTAGTTTGTTTTTCCCTTCTTATTTAGTCTAGCTGTTAGTTCAAGAACAAAGCTGTACCTTGGAGGAGCAAGTGGATTGTCAGCAACCTGTTTTGTTCACAAAAAAGAAGGAGGAGAATGAGAGTAAAGGTTAGCTTAAGGCATTCGGAACAACGCAACAAGGCCTGATGATTTAAAGGCATGTCTGCGCGCCCAGCGTATAAAACATCTAAAACCGACTTGGTTGTCATCGCTGTCTTCGCTATCACTGACTTGCAGGTCTTCCTGGAGCAGCACTCTGAAAGACAACCAGAAGATAAGTATCAGCCAAGGCAGACGTACTTTCAAGTACCAGACACTGAAAACGACTTGGTTTGTGTGTGCTTGCCAAAAGAAACCAACCTCCCACATTCTTTAGGAATGTTTGGCATTCTCTATCTGCTAAACCCTGTCTTTAATGAATGATAAAACGATAACACACAATCTAGGAACATTATATTGTACTTTTCAACTAATCTCAGGACATTTTGAAAAGGATGTCAGTATCATTGGCTGCCATCTACACACAACAAAGATGAAGCTCTGTGAGGGGAATGCTCCTCGCTTAAGTTTGTCCAGCGCACTAACGCAGCAGCACAGGGTGGAAGAACTCTGATCCTTGTACATTAAGAGAGTGGCGTGCTATTGGGCTGCACTGAGTCCCCAAGGGACAGAAAGCATCATCTGTGCACCAGAAGCTGCGTGCGCTCATGCTCTCTGCTCTCAGGGGCTGCAAATGTTTTTCTGTCACAAGGGTTCTCTTTTTGCTGCTCAAGTGTTCTACCGTACATACGTAAGTAAATGCCAAGGGCAAGCCTCCCTCCTCTTTCTTCTCTACACAATGAATTTGATGCTCCTGCACATCTCAGCAATAACTGTAAATCAAGCAGTTCAGACACTCCAAGCAGCTTACAAGTGGGGAGTCGCAAACTCTCTTTTACTATTGCTAGAGAGCAGGCTGCCTGCAAATGTTTCTAGAAGCATCATTTCGTCCTCTGCCTGCAGGTGGTAACTACTGCTTGCTATTTCAATGTATTACTGAAGGCCTCGAGAGGCTGGAAGGGAAGGATCTGTGGGCGGGGACCCAGCCTTCCCCCAGGTGTTATTCTCCTCTGGAAATCACACAGGCATATTCAAAAGGAGCTGGAAAACAGACAGGCAAAACTCCTGCTGTTCGAAAGTACAGTGATTCAAATCCTGAAACTAGCTGGAGACCAGCTCCTCAACCCAGAGAATTACACAAGTGTCATTTCAAAACGGGATGAAAGCTTGGCCACTGACACAGGGATTTTGATCAATCAGGTCAAAGCTGCGTTTATTTCAACCTCATTTCCAACTAAGGGCTTTCTGTGAGAAATTTCTCTCATGCCCAAATAAGAAAAGTAAGCCTCCAACCCCTTAGGACAAGACATTTTAGAGCAGGAAAACAAGTAAGAAAGATTCCCAGGAAACCACATCCACCTTGAAAAGTGGGGGCAGAGTTTGTGTTCCTGATACTTGTGGGGAAAAGGAAAACGACACAAAACTTCACGTTCTTTCACGCCTTCATGTCCGATTATGAACAAAGCAAAAACCATTTACAGCTCTGGAGGTCACCTCTGATGACCCTGAGGTGACCTTTGCTTTCCTAATTCTGCGACATCGGAGGAGTGAAAACCTTGAGTCAAAAAAGTGATTCCCTCCTTTAAGCACAGTTCCCACAAAAGAGACACGCTATTTTACAGTCACACCAAAGCAGCTGCCATGCACGGAGATACTCTCCTTGAAACAGGACCACATTTACTGCCAAAGCTGACCACGGACTCCCAACAAACAATTCCACAAATCAGATGTGACAAATCCACTCTTGTCCACTGAGCAGGATGGCGCGAAGAAACCCCAAAGGTCTCCTGTGTCTACCAGTACAGAGCCAACCCTTGCCACACAGATGATGCCTGTTGAAAAGGCACCAACCCCACAGTCCCCGAGTACCTTACCCTGATGCACAAGAGGTTCTCTGCGCACACAGACTTTGGTTACACCCAAAGGCCTACCGCGCTCTCTTTGCATTTGGCCCGTGCCATTGCCCTGTGGCTGCCTTAATTAGCTCATGCCTTAACAGACGCCAGGTTTTCATTTGCAGGACCTGTTCTTTTCCAGCTTAGATACACACCATCAATCTCCCTCCAAAGCTATAGAAAAGCTCTGTTAGTGAGAGAAGGAGCACTAAAATCAGCATCGCTTGAAAGCAAAGGCTGGTCCTTCCCCGCCAGCTGGGCTAAAGATGCATCACCACAAATGAGTGAGACATTTCCCCTTTTAAAAGAAGGGCTCTTCCATTCCAGCATTGCCAGGTGCTAACTTCGGGCTGTATTCAAGAATGAAAGCCGTCTGGGAAACCCTTGCACGCTCTGTAAAGCCGAATGCTTAATTTGGGCACACGAGCACCCTGGGATTTCAGGGCTGCTTCAAATTAAGCAGCACAAGCGCTGTTTGTTTTCAGCCAGCTACACTTGGTAAGGCAAGCTACTCCAGGCAGCTGGATTTTCAGTCACGTGTGATTTAAACAGCAAAGAAAGCAAGCCCTGTTGTGCGAGTGAAAACAGAAAAACAAAGAGGAAGGGATGCATCGGTTCAAGGGACAGGTGCAGAGGAAGTCCCTGGGGAAATCCTTCTTGACTCCATTTTGAACATTAGCCTAAGCCACCCTCTTCCTCCCACTTCAGCTGTCTTTGCTGACTGTGGGTACACTGGCTCTGAAGAGCCTGCACGGACGCTGAGCAGAGAGGGGATGTTGGCGAAGGACAGAGGTACGTACCATGCCGAAGTTACAATTCTGGACCTCTGCGCTAAGAAAGGCGTATTTTCAGATTCTTGTCTACAGTAAAAGTCTCTTCTCTCTCTGCTGCCTGGAAAACTGACTCAAGCTCAAAAGGGATTTTTACAGGCAGCTGAGAAGAGCTGAAAAAGATTGTCTGTGGAGGAAGGCAGAGCCTGCAGCAGTTGAAACGAGTATGTTTAACAGCGCAAAGAAAAGTCCCAGAAGTCCTTCAGGAGGAGCAAGCTGGGGTGGAAGAAGGAGCAGCAAAAGAAAGAATGGATTAAAGCAGCAGCTAACTACTCAGGAAGACACTATCCCACACTACCAGCCAGGGGAGGCTCCACTGCAGAATGTTAGAACAGCACGAAAAGGGTTGAGTTTTACAGACCTGACAGAGCTTGAGTGCAAGACTCTACAATCTCAACCAAGAGATGGCAACTGAGTCTGGTTACTTACGATACTGTTGTCTGAGAACGAGGCAACGTATCCGAAGGTCCATCGTACTGTCCTGGAAATCAAAAGAGAATCAGCGGGGTTTATCTGCCTCACCGGTAGCGTATTTTACCCTATGGTCTCTGAGCATCAGGTTAGAAAGTCACTTTCTTCCAGGACGTAACTGATTGCCACTGAGATTATTTATCACTCCAAATGGGGCTTCCTAATGAAATACTGTTTGTTCTCTGCTGAACTGCTGCCTTAATTTCTAGGTAAGGAATGCATACAGTCTCTTCAGCATTTTCTAAACTCATCAATGTTTAACAAAGCACAGGAAACCACGTCCCTTAATCAAGGTAAACATTTGATGTTCTCAATGTATGACACTCAAAACCATCTCTCAATACACATAGAACAGTGTGCTTTCCTTTGGATTTCTACTTACTCTGGTTCTGTGCTACACATCCAACAGGCTGCGACTCCTAGAAAGCAAGCACAAGGTGCAAGTTGAGAATCAAATACATCATCTCTCAATAGCAGCGTATCAGTGATCCGATTTCCTTGTGTTTGTTACTCTAATCGATACTTTGAGCAACGTGACAAAGAATAACTCCGAAGTCTCCAATAGTCTAAGCTTGCCTGATGTAGCTTAGCACGGACAGAAGTGATGCATTGCAAGTAACCATCACACAATTCAAAATCCATTGTGACTTCTAAAGATAATTTCTCCTAAAAGCCTTTACCTATGAAAGGAGGTGCAAGAGTTGGAAAGCTCATCAGATGAAAGTACGTGCAAGAGTTGGAAAGCTCTCTTCTAATTTATCAAAAGCCTTGGCAAAAAGAGGGTGTTTACCTTTGTTGGTAATGGAAATTTGGAAGGCTCTGCAGTAGGAGGAGTAGGAATATCTGTCAGAAGAGGTGGCCATGACTGGGTCATTTCCTGGAAAGCAAATGACAGAAGTGGGTTACAGTATTTTTGCTGATACAGGCAACTGAAGTTGTACCTCAAAGACATTTATATTCATGTACAATAAAAAGCTGAGCCCATCGTAAACCCAAGAGGCAATACCACAGCAAGAAGCCCTCTTTGAGCTCAGCGAGCCAGACCGTCATGAGCACTTGCTCTTTTTCTCCAAGCATACTTGCATTGCCCAATTAGCAGCAACCTCAGTGAACCTTGTAGAGAGTTAAATACTTCCTATGTTTGCAGGATTAGGCTATCACAGTTAATAAAGGGAAAAGGACATAAAACCTGTCTACCAGTAGCTCTGGACTTTTTCAAAGTTCAGGAACTTCCTATTATGTTCCTATTACAGCAACAACACCCCCCTGAAAGGCTTTTCAAAACTCAAGGGGGTCAGCTAGGGAGCTCTGACTGCCAGCCATTCCTCATGCTATTCTACCTGAAACACTGCCTTTTGCTCTGACTGGCCAAGATGCCTTTGCTGCAGAGCTCCAAGACGTGGTTTCAAACCAAAGAGAGCGACTGCCTGATGGGCTATGTCTTTAGGAGCCTTTCTGCCCTGTTGCCCTGCCCTAACTCTCACCCAGGGACCAGCTAGTTGGGCTAAGCCATGGTCCGGCTAAGAGCACAGCACACAGACCGCAGCCAGGAGATAGGGATCAACCTCCAACCTGCCTCTTCTGGCACCACAGCTGGACACAGAGGACTGGGCTAAAGCTTTGGCTTGCACTGCAACAAACACGTGAACAGCCTAGCACAGACAACGATCTTTGTCTTGAACATACGCTAAAACACCTTAATGGGGGTCAATCTAGACAAAGCCTTTGGGGAAGCTGGGGCTCAGAAATTCAGAACCACTCTGTTGAAATCACACAAGACAGACTTTTCTTGTCTCCCTATTAAGTTTAAATCCTGAAGAGTGTAATACTCCCTCCCAGAAATAAAGGAATTCATATGGCCTGCCACCCTCACTGCCTCTCCTGGAACACTTATCTTATTTGCACTCTGTGCTCGGTGAAAGGGTCCCATGTACTCAGACCCAGCTGAGTACTGGCAGCCTGTGCGCTGCCCACAAAGCCATCTCTGACACAGGTTGCAGAGGCAGTTTTGCATTAAGAGCTGGCTCAGATTGGCGCAAATGTACCATAATTACAGGGACAGAGAAGCCCAGTCCAGCAGCAGTGCCATGCACGCGGTGATATTCCTCCTCCTCCCCCCACCACTACTTCAATGTATACAAAACACAAACACGTCGATCTATTATTTAAGAGCACCTACCTTCAAAATTTCCTTAACGGCTTGGGCATCCCAGCGGAAGGTTTGCTACAAGCAAATAAAAAGAAGGAAGCAGCATGAGTTTCTTTGTTCCTTTACCAGCTGACTGAGATAAACAGAGGCACTCATCAAACGTTTGCTTACCAACAGTTCTACAAAGGCCACGGGAGTCCCTTAATAAGAAAAGACTAAAAAGCCCCATCAGAAGGGCACTTTATTCTACAAAGCCTGTTGTTTTCAAGTCTTTAGTAGAAGATATATTCCAATAAAGATGAGAAAGAACCAAAGTGAAAGAGAGTTCATTAAACAGTGGTGCTTGTCCAGCTGACAGGATTCCCCCTGCTTCCTAACTGGTGTCCTTCTGTGCACCCACGTGCACTCAGCAGAATAAGAAGCCAGTATAAAGCCCTAAACTGGGAGCAGGCAAAGTAAAGGTGGCTGTAAGTGGAAGAATAACCCACCGGACTCTTAAATGCCAGCTCCTGGACTCAAGGGAACACCAACTGTGATTAGAAAAGTTGAAAAGCAGTATGACTAACTTGCGCAGTTCAGGATAAAACCTTGAATGCACCGCCGGGTTAGAGCAACACGGGGAGGAACTAGCCTGCCTTCACTACAACAGGCTTGCACAAATGCACAGGTGCACACACCCGCAAAAGAAGGGAAGGAGATTTTCATGTAGAAAACAATTTAAGAAATGCACAGGCATTCTGTTCAAGCTGCACAGCAACTGTGTGACAAAACTCTCCGAAATACCTCCAAGTCCTCTTTTCACCGGCAATTCCAAAAAACCCACACACTTCCATAAGCACATGCCCTGAGGCTTACAGAGATCTCTTAGACATACTAGAGAGAGATGAACAAGGAACTCGGGATAATAAGAATCACCCCAAAGCAAACTAAATTGCTTGAGGAACCACCTGGTACACAAAGGAGATGTCCACTGGCCATGATGTGTGGGCCAGACACCCAGCCATCAACCAGAAGCAGTGCAGTGCCCCAACCAGGCAGTAACTCAAGACAGGGACGGCATCAGCCTGCCCGGCACTGCCGTCTTTTGTGGCAGACTCAGTTACAGCCTCACAGCAGGAGGCACCAGTAGCCTGCTCCTTGGTCTCGGTGTGATAGCTGGAGGCGGAAGGGCAAAGCACGAGAAGCATTGACAGAATAGTGGCAAAAGCCCAGCTTTCTCCTCTCTGCACAATGCAGTCAACGCTCGCCAAAGCTGGGAAACTCAGAAAGTGGGCATCTTTTTGAAAAGAAGGTTTTGCCACAGATACTACAAGGAATAAGCAGCGCTGGTTTGGGGTAATGGCTGAAGAGCTTTTAAGGCTGCTGCTTTTTATCAAAGGTATTCCATTAGAAATTACAGCACACATTTTTATTCCACTCTGCCAAGGTGTGCCAAATGGAGCTGAAGGACCACACAGCTCTGGCATGTGGAAGTAGGGGGCTGAAGCTTGCTCCCTGATTTGTAAACAGCCTGCCTCGCCTAAAGACCTTTCTGCTCCTTCTCATTTCAGTAATTTCCGCCTGCTTATCTGTATGCCTCTGTCGTCACAGCCCACGTAGAGCTGCCCCTCTGACACCAATCAGCCCTGTGCTGCTTCTCAGTCCCTTTCACCTCAGGTGAAACTGGTGCCTGTAGATATGCAAGCAGCGTAGGTCAAGAAGAGCTAGAGCACGCAGGCATTTCCTATGTTGCCTGCTATCTCCTCCTAATTGAAATGGACTCGCAACGTGTGTGTGTGTGTGTGGCTCAAGAATACCAGCTACTGCTCTTTGCCTGGTTTCAGGCTAAATTATTAGTGCTGAGAAAACCCGAGCGAGCAGGATCAGAAAAGCCAATTTGAGTTCCATGCCCTTCACTGTGCTGGCAGTTTTCTTTGTTTCCTAATGAGAGCTTTGCCACTGCAGCTATCAATTATCAGCAGAGAAGGTCACCTCTTCAGGCTGCTGAAAAAGTTTCCCATTTACAGCTGCTTCCAATTTAATACTATATTTTAATAGAAATATTTGGTTACAAATTTATTTTTCCATGTCAACCGCATGGGCTTTTGCCCCTTGAATGCAATGGGGATCACAAAACTGCATATGCATGAATGAAGACTTAGTTTGAATAGAACAGGCGGGGCAAGATGAGACCAAAACCTACCACCCTGTCTTCACTTCATCTGCACGTGCTTCGCTAGCTCAGAGCGGGAGGAGATCTTGCATATTAAATGCACTCTCTGTTCACACACAAGTCACGCTAGGAATAACACACTAACTTACTCTTCAAAGTGATTTTCCACCTGCATTTCTGTGTTAAGAATCTACCCTCTAATACTATAGGTAGATGCAAGATGCACACACATAGGGCACGCTTCCAAAATGACCCAGCCAACAAAAGAGACTGTATGTATTTTAACCAAGCCTCTAATCATCTTGATTAGGGATGCAATAATGTTCTGCTGTGTACTGAAAAAGCCTGCCAAAACTTGAAGCTACAATCAACTTGATGAAAACAAACACGTAAACACAGAAATCCATACAGGTTTTTGCAGGCTATCTTAAGGAACACCAGACACCAAAGCAGATGCTCTGCCAAAGATTTACCACTAAAGAGATTATAATACATCTCTGATACAAAGACAGGTCCAACAATCTGAAGCATGGCTTACTCCATCCACCTGGTTTTAGAGGATGTGGTGACAAAGCTGCTTTTGGGGAAAGCTGAAGCAACCGTTCCTAGTTACCTATTCAGGAAAGCGTTTATTGGAACAAATACGAAGACTGTGTGAATATACTTGTGATTAAAATAATTTCTAGTCAGGCAGGCACCATCCTGCAAGCAAACTAGCAGCATGGGTGGTCCTTAAGCATGTTTTTAAGGGATGTTTATCGCTTGCTGCAGACACAGTGCACTTGTTCAACAGATCTCTTTCTTTCATCCGCTCACCGATTCCCACAAGTGTTTGACGCATGGGGAACGTCTACCCTTTCTTAAGAGGGCAAACAAAACTGGCAGCTGCTGCAGTAAAAAAGGCCCCTGCAAGCCACAGGAGAACTGGCTACACAGGGGAAACCGCAACACTGGTGTCGAGCAAACAAAAGCAGCAAAACCGCATCAAGTACGGGAGGTACAGGCAGGTAGTTAACACAAGATTTTCTTCTGACTTCTTTCAGGTTCAGGAATTGTAGGGGTTGTTTTTTATATTTGTTTCTGTTTTAAAGTTCACACAAAAAGAGTTATTAGCCTTTTTATAAGGAAAAATATGGAACTTGAGCTGAAGCTTACCGAGGTGTCTTCGCACTGTTGCCTGTGGGCTTTGCACTAAGCCAATAACAAACCAGATAAAGTGTGCACAGACTTCGAAACAAGCTGTATTTTAAGGATGAGTATCCCTTCCCTGACTTCAGCGTGGGAATACTTGCACACCCTTAGGTTTCCCTTGGTGCTATTTTTGTATTGGCTCAAAACCATTCAAATCAGAAGCTCAAAAAGGGACTTTTGTTATCTAGTCACAAAATCTTGGTTGATATAATTTGTTTAAATTCTCAGATTGCACAGAGTTAAATATGTCTTTCATGACTGCTCCATGAATTATAGCTACAGACTTTAAAGGCCATTTTGTTACGTGGAAATTGCCTGAGGGTTCGTTGCTACTGCAAAATAACGTACAGATACTGTTTGGCAGCCGAGTCCCCGTAGCAGCAGCTCGAGCTGTTCTACGAAATTCGGGAAGCTGCAGTCAGAGAACGACAAACCCATGAGCAGAGAAGGCAATTTTCTGAGCAGATTGCCTAAGGCTAGGATTAATTTTCACAGAGGGTTAATAATTACCGCAAGACGCACCGTTTTTAGCGCAGAAAATTCACTTCATTTCATCAAAAACACAATGGCCACAACAAACAAGACAAAAGGTGGAAGAGAGAAGGAAAGGCAAAATGCAACTCAAAGAAAACTGAAACGGAAACCCAACTTTCAAAAACCTTCCTATCCGACTGTCCTTGTGGAAAGAGAAGAAACTTGGTTCCAGTGCTGCACTAACAAGGCACCTCACACTGCAGCAGCTGTAAAATGTACGTTTGGGGATGCACTTGTTCAAGTTTTCTTCTAGCTTCAGGTAGCCAGCTGGGTGGGTTTAGCAGTGCAGGAGGAGCAGAAACAAGCAACGCATCCTACATCTCCCCTCTCACCAGCTTAGTTCTTGACCGTAATGGAGCAAGACTCTTGTAATTCCAGCAAAGCAAAGCTAAAGTCCATCTGCTTGCCATTGCTCCCAGCGTTAAGTTTCACTTCTACATTTCATGAAAAACAAAAACCATGCTATACTTTTTGCTTTATGCACACTAAAGCAATACTGAGGCACCACAGAAATGTACAGAATGGCTCTGCCTCATCCAGCGAGACAGAAATCTTCAAAGTTACATCAAAATCTACTTGTTCTCATATTTGTGTTTACGCTGCTCGCTTGGTTTTGACACCCGCGACTTCATGGCAGACTACAAATCAAAGCCACCAGGCTCAAAGTCCACAGGAGCCTTCTAAAATAATTTATCTGGGTGCTATTTCAGGTCCTCTGTGAGCCCCAGTTTAACCAGCAGGTTGCATGCAGCCAAGTCCCCTGTGGACGATTTCACAAGCGCGCTTAACCCATTCAAGTCCACTCCTCTCCTTTCCAAGCCAACCTAAATTTGAGTCACTGAAACAATGCCATACCTCCAGGCACTCTCCTGCTTCTGTCCCAGGGTCAACCCAGAAGCCCCACTCACAGACAAGACAAGACAAGACAAGACAAGACAAGACAAGACAAGACAGCAGCTCCAGCCTGCCACCACCCTTGCTGCAGGTTTGAAAACAAACCAAACCGTTTCCATCAACTTCTACTCTTGCTTTCTTCAGCTGACAATGAAGGCTCCTGGCAATGGAAGCATTTTACATCAAAATGCTCAGTAAACAATGGGTGCACTGTCCTGTTCCTGCCTGGCTGCCTGGAGGAAATAAAACAGTCCTCAAAGATATTACATGCTTTTCTAACTCCAAGATGGATTATTTTGCTCAATCTCAAACTAAATGCATGGACCTCTTTCTTGTGTCCAAAGAGCTTCGGAGAAAAAGAAAAAAAATCACAGGTTTGCCTTCCTTTGCCTGAAGGTTTCAAGTTTCTCAGAAGCTCTAGCTTTACTTCCTAAAGCCATTTAACCACTTGAGGGTTTATGTACTGCTGGAGGTCAGCAGGAATCAGGCTATTAAAAGCTAAAAGGCATTTTGCAACAAAATTCTAGTCACTTAGATCCAAACCCAGCATAGCTACTGTTTGGTTGGGTTTAGTCTGTGTCTATTACTTGTTTCTTTTCAAACCTGGGCATTAAGGTACCTGTTAACTTCTCATCAATGTCATTTTGCCAGTTTCCTCTCCTTTTCCACAAGAAATTGCCTACAGCCGTTTGCAGCTGATCAACACCCTCTTCCACAAAAGGCAGAAGGCACCCACACTCTCCCTTTCTCCTACAAAGGCAAAACACAATCTTAAAACTCTCTCCACCTCTCTCCTTGCCCAGCTGCCTTAGGTCTCAGTCCTTGGCAGAGAAAGGACAAGTGCAGTGACCAGAACTAAGATATGCTCGAGCTTGCTGCCCAGGATGCCTTCTGCTGACAACAACAAACAAAAGAGCTCTGCTCCTTTTGCTCATAGCTGGGGGACAAGAAAGAGCCTACAGTCTTTCCCTGAATGCAGAATTTTAGAGGGCTTTCAGGGTCTTGCTTATGATTTACAATCCCACTTCTGCACTAAATTTCCTTCGAGAAACTGCTCAAAAAACATTCCATGGAGCGGGAAACAGAATGGTCTCGTGCTTCCCAAGGGCTAAGTCCATCTGGTAGAAATCTTCAGGATATTTTTTGTTTACATGGATACTTCCCTGAGGGTCTACAGTTACATCGTACAAACTCACTTAGGAGAGCCCTGTGGTGTTCACAGACAACTACCCAAAACCCCAAAAAGCCCAAAAACCTTCATCCTACCAGGTGACCATAGAACTCCCTGCACAGTCAGCTGTCCCAGTACTCAGCGAACATATGGGACTTCTACTCACCAGCACTCAGACCGAGTACCAACGCTCTGCATGCACTGACTGTAGGTACATCACCCCCTGACCTCTCAGCGTATCATTTCCCCCCTTCTTCTTTTCAACAATCTTTACAGGCAAGACAAAAGTCACAGCAACAGAAGCAGTCGCTCTAACCATAAGGCCTGCTGCAGCCTCACTGATAAAACAGACACGGAATCATGGCGAGTGCTGCATTTTCACCATCCAGGTATCTCCCCCAGATGTACTGGCAAAAGGCACTCTTAAAATACACCTTCTAAAAGTGATAAAGTGTGCACAGCCATCAATGCTCGTAGTCTCTGCCCTTTGGTGACCTGTCCTCCCATAGCTGAGCTTACCCTGCCAGCAACAGAGTCTCCTAACTCACCTTTACGGGCTCAGAAGGGATTTCTGATTTGAATAGTTTGGCTCTGGCATTCACCTTCAGATCTGAGATCTTTTCAAAGGGCTCTCTATGGTATTCCTCCAGGAGAGGTTTGAGATCTGGCGATTCCTCTCGCGCCTGATCTTGGACATCCATTGGTCTCACACAGGCAGTTGGTTTCTGCTGCATCGCGCTGGGCTTTGATGGCAAAGCTGTAGGAACCGTCCGAGAGGAAGGCCGAGTGTTGCTGCTCAGGTCAATGTCTGAGCCGTCCTGACTTTCCTCTTCCTCTGATCCTGTCACTAGGTCCTGAAACGATTTTCTTTGACTGTAGGTCAGCTCCTGGCTTTTGCTGCTCTTTTCTGACTTGGAACTGACGTGCAGGTCGGAACGCAGAGGTGACAGAGGTTCCAGTGGAGGAGGCAAAGGTGTCAGAAATGAAGAAAATGAGAAAATGGAGTAGTCCAGATCATGAGCACGACCTTCACCAGCCGCACGCCTGTCACTTCCCTTGCGATGAAGACCTTCGTGACTTTCCTTGTCACCACAACTGCGTTTGCGACTTTGGCTCTGACCGTTGGATGAGCTGCCGCTCTGCACGTGCAAACCTGAATGCGGTTTTGTCCTTGATTGTGCCTTTTCGCAGGGACTTGAGCGGTGAGCAGGAGGAGCACTTACAGCCGTAGTGGGTGGATGGTGGGCTGTGTCGTGGAATGAAGGTGATGATGTAGGGCTGGTATTTTCATCAAGGGAGTGTGGGAAATGAGGTGCTTCAGGTGAGACCGGAGGAAGGACTTCCTGAAGCCCTAAGAAATTCCATTGGGTTTTGGAGTTGATGAGCCCCATGACATCCTCATAATTGCCCAGCACGTTCCGAATTTGGTTTGACAAGTCATCTCCTTTATGAGTCTGCAACAGAAGAACAGAGGCAGAAATGGAAAAAGCACGGACCCTCAACTTCAGGAGACTCAGCTCTGTAAGAGAGATTCGTCAGGATCTTAATTGCATCACCGTGTATCACCACAAGCAAAGTTAGGCAAGCTCATCTTGATCCTGCAGTGCAGTCCCTCCAAAGCAAGTGGGACTGCTCTGCTCACTCTTAGTTCTTCTGAGCCAAACTTGTAGGTGTGCCTGCAGTCTTCAGGAACACTAACAGCAGACCCGTTTGTTTCTATCACAGCTGCACACAGACAGGCAGCCAAGCTGCTCTTGGGTGCTCTCCCTCAAATTCCCAAACTACAGGAAGTAGCCTCCAAATGAATCTGCCCAGCCCAAAGACCTTACTGCGCTTGCACCATCTTCAGAGCTTTAAACCCATACTCTGATGAGCTTAAGTTAAGCAGATGGGAAGATGCTGGTTCTGCACGTGTCACACTCAACTCTGCTACACCATATGCAGAAGCCACAGCTCTGCTCTTACGCTCCAACCATCTTTCCTCCTCTCCCTCCACCACACCGCCCCCCCCCCCATCATTACCTTGTAGGGTGCTGCAAAGACGGGAGGCTTCTCAGGGAGCTTGTTTTTCTCCTGCTGAGCCTCCCTAATTCGTCTCTCTCTCTCTCTAGCATGCAGCAGGTTTCTGTCCTCATTGCATAAGCTTTAGGAAAGAGAGAAAGAAAGGATGGTTAACGCTTTACACCACTGTTACCAACGAGTACCTACTGTGCTTCTCAGACAACAGTGCATGTCCAGCATGAAAGTCATTTTGAACAGGATGCTTACAGTTGGCAAATCAGTTACGTCATGTCACCGCATGGTGCTATAATACATACAAGGTACAGCAAGCATCCTTCTCAGGGCTTTCTACTCTTGATACCATACATCAAGAAAGGTGGGAAGGGAAAAACTATCCGTCCATTGAATCGTCAAACACTGGTTCCAGACTCTTTTCAGTGGTGCTCAACGGCAGGATGAGGACCAATGGCCACAAACTAAAAGTCAAGAAGCTTCACCCCAACGTGAGGAAGAACTTCTTTACATCAAGGGTGGCAGAGCACTGGAACAAGCTGCCCAGGAGAGTAGTGGTGGCCCCCTCTCTGGAGACATTCCAAACCTGCCTGGGCACCTTCCTGTGTCATCTGCTCTAGGTGGCCCCGCCTTGCCAGGGCGGGTGGGCTGTATGATCTCCAGAGGTCCCTTCCAACCCTCACGGTTCTGTGATTCTGTCTAACTCTTCACCTGAGGGTAAAAAAGAATCTACTATTTTGAAGGTGTTGCCACTTTCAGAGACTGAACTTTGCCAGCTTTATAAAGAGGCTTGAAAACTTAGTCTTTACTTTAAATTGGCAGTCAGAAAGCTGCTTGCTTACCTGCCAAACCATGCAGTTCCATTTAAAGCAATCGTGCAAATGTATTTAAAGTGGTGGTCTCAGAAATCTGGAAAGCACCAGGTCAAATCCCCCTGTTCCTCCTCAACCGCATACGCATACACTCAATTCCGCCAGCCCCACATCAAAACAGCAATAAAGCTGCGTCACATGCGCAGCAGAATAACTTCACGGAAAGCCAGATACTTTAAACTACACCATCTCTGTGAAATACTCCTGCAAAATCTGGGACTATTAATGGACATTTGTCAAGCAGCAGCACGGAGGCACAGTATGTGGATGCAGGCATTGGCCTCCTCTCCTGCTTCTACTCTACTCACAGGCACACTATGTGGATGCATTATTTTTCTCTCTTCCCTCCTCTTTCTACCCTACCGCACAGTCTACTGCATACATGCAATTCCTATATTCTTCTTAGTACACTCAACTTCTCGAGCGTCCCAGTTTGGAAGGGAAGAGCCTTGCCTTCCCCACCACTGACATTTTCTCAAAGACCACACCGATGATCCCCAACTGAAGGTCAAGCTAGAGGCCTGGCTTTCCTGAAACAGTTAATCAAGAGGTCCAATTCCTGCAGAAGTGGCTTCCTGACACAATGTGAGCTATGGAAAACTGCTGTCTGATGGCAAGCTTCCTGCTAGGCCCTGCTCCCATGTGCCCTCCTGCCACCCAAGAAAACGGCTGTGTGACCTCCAAGACATCAAGCGTGTCCCTAGCCTTGGAGCCAAGCCAAGCTTCACAGCCAGCCAGTGGCGCTAACACTTATGCTGTAGCCCCTCTTAGCACGCAGCCTATTAAAGCAACGGGCTGATACAGCAGGCCAGTAAATCATGCCAGTAAGTCATCATACAAAGGAAAGGGAAAGGATGCCGCAAACTTAAGCCTTTGCCACTTGAAGTGCTCCCAGTCTCCCCACATGCAGAGAGAGCAGTTAGTCAGAGCTAGAGAAGAGGTCAGCTGTTAACGAAGCAGCCAACCTTCCCGTCCTGCTTCCCCAAAGCTCAGGGCTCTGTCATCTTGCAGTCTGCAACGTAAAGCCACCTCTTGGCTTCAAGCCTGTCGAAAAGCACCACTGTGAAAACACACTGCGGAGCGCCAAACTTCTGTGCAGGATATACCACCAGTTTTAATTCTTTGTAATCATCCCTCGCCTGAAGCACAGGGGAGCAGGGTGGGGGGGGCTAAAGAGCAACGAGAGGAGTTTCTCCCCTTGGCATTTCTGACACGCTCGTTAAAGCATCCTAAAAGCTAACAAGGCATTTAACGGGTACCTTAAACAGCACTGCGTCATCAAACACCGTGACTTCAGAAAAGCTGCCTCCCCCATGCCGAGGGTGAAGTTGACTTTAGACAGGATGCCCCCCGCCCCCCAGCAGCCAGAACACAGTCACCCGAAAACGATTTAACCGCCACTGCTGCATTCGCTTGAATTCTACTGCCTGACAGCAACGACATCGGACCCTTCGTTTCCGTACTCTTCTCTACAACCATTTCCCACCTATCCAGCAGACCTGCACACAGGCAGACGCAACCTCCCATTTACACTGCCAGTTCTCCAACCCAATCGAACAGAAACCATTTACCACCCCTTCAAACAGCGCTGCGGGCAACCACAGAAACCTGTTTAGGCTGGGCTGGCTACAAGAGAAAACCACCAAAAGAGATACGGACAAGTCCCCAGGGGAGGAGAAAATCAGTTTCCCAGTGTTGTTAACTTGCTGGGGAGGGGTTTGACAGCGAGAATTAGGACTCTGGGTATCCAGCTAAAAGCAGCTTTATGCTGAGCTGAGGCAGCGGCGCCTCAGTGAGCGAAACACATCAACGGAATCCAGCCAGGACGCCTCTCCACACACACCGCACCAACAGCAAACTCTGCCCGGCAAGGAGCGAAGGCATCATTACCACACCAACAGCGACACAAGCTCTTTAACGCCCTACCTCGACTGGGCAGCCGTCGCCAAGTTTAACGCCCCAAGTGTCTTCTCTCCATGAGTTCTCTCCCCAGCTACCCAGGCTCTACCCGGCTGCCAACGCCTCCTCGTCCATGTGGCGGTGCCGCGTCGCCCTCCTCCGGACGCCCGTCAGCGTGCGGCTCCAAGCGGCCACCGCACCGCAGCCCTCGCTCCCCGCAGCCCGGCGCCCCGAGCCCGGCCTGCCTCACACTCATCTTGACAGACATCCGGGCAGCCGCGCCCTCCTCCGGCGCCAGTCATGCCCGGCCGGCGACGAGGAGGACGATGCGGGCCTCGGCACTTTCAGCTGGGAGGGGGGAACTCACGGGGGGGACCGGACCTGACCACACGGCCCTCTGTGAAAAACCAAGATCTGGCTCGCAGCGTGCCAACATCAACCGCGGCCCGCTGCTCTTTTAGTCCTCTGTCGCTTTATGGGGAGCGGGTCTGGCAGCAGCTCACTGCCCCCACGAGTACCCGCACTGTGGTGCGCCCACCACCCTTTTTAGCAGCGCTGTCATGGTACGACCCAACCTCCTAAATTGGGCAGGCGGTTCTGTCAGTCAGCGCAGCAGAGCGGCGCGATTGGACAGGAGCGGGCGGGTGGGCGGGCACTGCCGCCGCCGCCGCGCACGAGTCTCTTCAGCCTGGCCGCTTGCAGCCGGCGCTCTGTGGACCGCGGGCGTAGCGCTGCGAGCGGCGGCTCCCTGCCCGCTGCCGCATCCCTCCCAGCGGCTTGCGCGTGTGCGTATGGGTGTGCAACGTTTGCTTGCTTTTGTAGAGGAAAAGAGGCTCGCGTGGCTTTTAGCGTTTTCAAAAGCAAGTACAGGACGCACGTGGCTACGCAGGTGTAGCGAATGGAAAGCCGAGGCGGCTGCTGCTGCTGCTGCTGAAGTTGCAACTGCCCATGCTTGAAATTGCAGGCTAAGAAACTTGGGGAAAATAAAGCCTCTGGTGGCGGTTTGTAGACTCACTCGAAAGCAGATTTAAACCAACACTGAAGCAAGGTTACACTCCTCATTTTCTGGTTCAGGGCACAACTCCCATCAAAGCACTGGGCAGATAACCAGGGAACAGTTTATACCCCATTTATAGCAAATAGTAAATTACAATTTTAGAGGCCATTTACAGAAAGCTTCTACATAAAGCTACATAATTTTAAGTGCATAGTTTAAAAATGTAAAAACAACCAGAAAACGGTTGGGTTCTTCCCATTCCACATCTTTGTCCCGAAAGGAAAGATCCCTCAGGGGAGGACTCCTCACGCTCTTCCCCTGCTCCAGCGTGGGCTCCCTCCCAGGGCACACAGTCCAATGTGAATCCTCCCCAGAGGTGGCAGTTCTTCAGGAATGGCTCCAGCATCAGCCCCTTCCATGGGGGGCAGTCCTTCAGGAACACTCTGCTTCTAGCATGGGGCCCCCATAGGGTCACAAGTCCTGCCAGCAAACTCGAAGGTTACGGAAGGGGCCAGGATTTTCTTTTTCCCCTTCTTACATACATTATCCCAGAGGCGCTACCGCTGTTGCTGATGGGCTTGGCCTTGGCGGGTCTGTCTTGGAGCCAGCTGGCATTGACTACACTGCACACGGGGGAAGCTCCTGGCAGCTTCTCACCGAAGCCACCCCTGCAGGCACCACCCCAATACAACTCAGCAAAGCTTTTGCCTGTGCAGGCTACACAGACCCCCTGCTTAGGGAATTTCAAGGGGTGTGACTTGTCATATGGCTTGCAGGATATGTCATACGGCTTGCAGCATATGTCAGTCATATGGCTTGCAGCAGGTTCCAATGCTAGATGTGGACATAACGTACACTATCCAATATCACAGCATTGAAGAAATGCGCTGCACCGCAGCGAGCCAACTGTATCTACACCCCCCCTAGATGTAGGCAGCAGTCTTGCATTTGCTCTGCGGTATGAGGTTTAAACACGCATTTTCTTAACGGGTCAATGCTTTAATGTTTTCCTGCATAATCAGTCTTGTAGTCATGGAAGAAGCCATTGAAAAGAAGGCTTTTCACTATGATACTGAATGCAGTTACATTTCTTATTTCTCCATGCCATAATTCAACTTCTGTATTTCAGTGCTTGTCTCACTAATGCCTATGAAACCCTGCGAGACAGTTAAAAAACCTAACCCTGCTTCACGCTGCCTACCATCCATTTCTTCAAAGCACAGAGCACAGACTTCTGCTGAGGCTCTGAAGAGACTGCAAACCTGCAAATAATCAAGAGGATGACCCAATAGAACTGTGGCACAGAGGTACCTGCTGGCCTTTTTTTGAACATATTCCTTAAACAGATACACTGTGATGAAAAGGGCACTTAAGAAATGTTAGAATCACTGACACCCAGGCACTGACCAAGACATGACCATGAACCACTGGTAGTCTTCAGGACAAACCTATCCTGGCAGTGAAATACCTGCTTACAAGAGAAGGGGAGTCAGTGTTCGTAACAAGCTCTTTGGGTCTTGCTCCTCGAGCCTCTACCCCAGTGCTGTCATTGCCCCAACAACAAAATGAACGCCATTTTCATTGCAAGACTTGATGAAAAACGCTAAGTTCCTGGGGAACATTTCAAGTCTGATAAATGAGCGTTTCCCTGAAGAAAGCTTCCTGCCAGAACATACCCTGTAACCTGTAGACCCCCCCTCCCTTGCTTCTCTTTTCAACATTAGCACACTGCAGCTTTTCCCACCTGTGTTTTTATTCACTGATCAGGGATAGAAGTGTCCCCTTTTTCAGGTCCTTGTCTCTGACAGATGTGTTGCAAGTGAAGGAAACTGACCCCATTAGGTACAATGCAAACAAAACAAATCGATAACATAAGCTTCTTGTACTCTGCAGCTTATCCTTAACTCAAAAGGGCACTTCTGAGGTGAAGAGGATTACCAAAGTAATACTTCTGAAAAACCTAACAGGACAAGCTTCCTACTGGTGATCCTAATTCCAAATGTATTTAAGCTGTTTATGAGCATGTGAATTTTAGAAGATCCATTCTTACCTACTTATGCACTGAATAAAAATGGGGGTCTCCAGAGAAAGCCTCTCATTTAAATAAACACTGCATAGAAATTCAAATCCAAGAGAAGAACAAGCAAAGGTGTGCAGGCAACCTGGATGCCGTTGTTTCTCAATTCTGAATTCCTGAAAATGCCGCGCTACTGACCTCAGGCATCAGCGATGAAGCACAGGTGGTGGGAACATTAGATGTATTTTATGTACACAGCACCATCTTACCTGGCCATATACTTACAATTTTACATGGGAGAAAGAAAAAAATCCACAACACGACTCGGAGGTTTCAAGCCTAAAGTGACAGCGTTTCCATACAAAGTGCAGGTGCTGATACATTGCCCAACCCAGTACTTCCAGACGGAAGTGTGGCATCTCTTTGCTCTCCATTTAACAGTGTCTGCCCTGAGTGTTGGTTCAGTCCTACTCACCTCACACACCCATGGATTTTCAAATCTCTTCCCTTGTTCCTCTGTTCAACTGAGTCCTCCTGAAGCACCTGAGAGTTTTCCACATGTCCCCAGAGCTTGGGGAAGTCAGTAATTTTCACCTGCTGTGAAATTTCCTTGCTCCTGGGTCTCTTCTGTTACAATGCTACTTAGGGGGCTGGCTGGGTGGGCACGCATGGGGGTAATATTACGAAATAAATCTTTGCACATTGTGTTTTCAAGAAGCATTAAATAAAACAAACACCAACAGAAAGAAAAACTTAACAGTAGCAATCAGTACCTAGCGTTGGTTGCAAGATTCCAACAAAACCGAATCAGGGACTGTTCAAAGGGGAATACAGCATCCCTTACCTCAAGAAAAAATGCAGTGTGACATTACACTAATAAAGATATGATAACCCATTAAGTTTCTGGCACAAATCCCAGAAGCTTAAGTATTGTGAAACAGTCAAGCAGAGTACCAATGAAGAAGGAATAGATACCAAGCGATATTAAAATCATTAAATGCATGGCTAGTAAGCTTTCCTAAAATCCCTTTGCTGTAAAGTAGAACATCTTGCGTCTTTCTCCACCAGTAGTCCAGGAATAGCCATGCAGCCTGTGCTACTGTAAAGCACAGGTTATAAACCATAAACCACACAATTTTAAGGGCTCCATGTACCTGGAGAAATAGATTCACCTGATCCCCGAACTTCTGCTTCCAAATACACTTGGAAGGCAAGCAAAATTCAGAAACCCATACGTGGAAGCATACACAAAAACCAGCTTAACAAGGTGAATGAAGCTGTGTGCTGTAAGCAGTGGCAAGTCTGAAGAAGGCTGAGGCAGCAAAATTCTCTGCTGACCCTGAATCAGCAAAGCACTTTTACATAGCCTTGCTTTATAGCACCTTCTTAAACTTGGCACTTTCCAGAGCCAAAGCTGACTGCCAGCAGCACATCCTTGCTGGGCAAATCATGAAAAGCAGTTAGATTTCACCACACAGCATAGCTACGGTGAGGCTAGAGCAGCAGCAGGCCAAAGGGAAGAAACTGAGTAAAATACCTGAGAGAATCAAAAAAAAAAAACCCAACGACTTTAACAACAACAGAAGACTAAGTTGGATGCAGCCTGTTACGAAAGAAACTGCTTTACAGATGTTAGGAATCGAACAATTCTGAGAAAAGAAATTGAAACAACCTTTTCTCCTTCAATATTTAAATTGATGAAAATAGATTTCAAAGAGAAATCACCTTCTCCCAGGAACCAGACCGCAGCAGAGGCTGCGCCCTACAAGCTTTTGACAGCCATCGGGAGCAATTTGCATCGTCTTCCTTGGCATTATCCACTTATCGTTCCGAATGCCATAAAATATTCCATAACCATATGAACCAGCACGGCTTTTCTCAATCCAAATGCATGCAGAAATCCAAATGAGTGCAGAAATCCTTACTTTAAAGGCTGGCTTGCTTCACACAGATCACTGGGATGGCAACATTGCCCCCTGCTACGCTGAGGCTGTGAAAAGGACAGGATGCGAAGCAGTGGGGCTGGTGCAGGAAGTATCAAGGCAAGGTATGTTGTAAACAAACACCTCACCTCCCTGCGATGAGTAGTTTCCATGGGACAAGGGACTGCTCTCATCCGTGAGAATCACAGAATCATTTAGGTTGGAAAAGGACATGAAGATCATGCAGCCCATCCATTAGCTAGCACTACCATGTCCACCACTGAAAGGTGTCCCTAAGCGCTACATCTACACGAGGGTCACGTTGATATCCAGTGTTAATCACTGTCCGTTTTGCAGCAGATTCTGGTTTGCCAAAGAGCTGATGCCTTTCGTAAAGACAGAATGTTAGATATGAGACTCCTCCTCTCCCACTCAGTCATTATGATGCTTGCATTGATGGGGGGACTATTGTTTTCAAACCTCTCAGAATTTGTCACAGCACCTGGGAAGCCACGGATACATCAAATTATCCATACCTGTCGCTGCTGCTCTTGTCCATTATGACGCCTTCAGGTGAGTCACGTCAATACTAATGGAGTATCTTCAACTGGAAGACGAAAAAAAGATATCAAACATCTTTTTTACAAAAGAACAACGCATTGTGCTCAGTAGATGTCACTCAAGCTGTGCTTCAACGGTCACAAAGGCCAACCCAGGAACGTCCTTCCTCAGAGTCAGCAGAGAGAAAAAAGAGAAAGTCAAACGAGCAAGCGTGAAAAATCTTGGGTTTCCAGAGCAGCGACTCATTACAGTACAGTGATGGCCAGAATGCCTGTTACAGCAAACAAAACATAAACCCCAACTGTTAATTTCCTTTGTCTGTGTGTTTCGGTGCACACAGTCTCCAAAGTTATTTTTTCACTGCAAAATTTAAGACTCACCCCTCTGCACTCTCCTGCAGGTATTTCAGAGCTGTGTGAATCCCTCAATTCTCCCCAGCAGTCTAAATCGTCTTTCAGTTACGTTCAGGACGATGGTGTGAAATACTACACAACAGGAAGGTTAGATGTAACCTAAAGAACAGATTTCTTCCGCAAGACAACAAATCCTTTGAATTTCTGAGGTTCACTAGTTTGACAGATTTCTGCACAATCCTCAATATTGGCAGGCTGAGGCACAATCTCTGCATCAAACACACCTACAGTTCAAGACACCGACTTCTGGAAAAGCTCGTAAATGCTGGGAATGCTCCCGTAAACACCTCTGCTGGTTTCAGAGAGACCTGTTAGAGCCACAAACAAGCCACAAGCACTCATCACTATATTGTAACGAGTGTTTGCAGAGATTGGCCTTAGATGTTTAGGAACAACAAAATATGTTCAGTATTCACCTGCCTGGAACAGCAAGGCAGCAGGAGCCCCTGCTGAGCCCTTCATCATTCAACCCAGCGAGCTACATGGCAGCTGTTCTGAATACCTGCCTAAAGCAAGGGGTCTGGGTCAATATCTCCAGGGAGCTATGCACAGAGCCTGAGCTGTCCCACTGGCATCCCAGGAATTCCAGGATGAATGGGAGAACCAAGATACCCATTTTCCCCTTCCCCCAGCAGTGATGCTGCATTTCAGGGCAGCTCTTAAAGAGAACTACAGGCTTGGCCAAGAGTATGACAAGCCAGGCTATAGGCTCCACTACAGTTAGTTCAACTTCAAATATGCCATCAGGGCACTCCCTTCAGACAGCCAGATAGCCCTGTGATGAATGGAAACAGCTGTGAAAAGGGGAAGGAGTGGAGAGAAAAAAACCAAGCATTAAAAATACAGCTACAGATTAAAAGGTAACTCCAAATACAAATTCAAAGCAGCAGTGTTGAGGAAGCAAGGAGAAAACAAGGGGAAGGACGTTGCATCAATTACCGCAAGAGAGCGACCCCCTCCCATCCCTGTAACAGCAGAAGAAAAGAAACAAGCCTGGAAACACAAAGACATGGAGAGCAAGCCTAGATTAAAGCGCAGGAACACCTCAGTAGAAGCAACAAATCTCCAACAGGAAGAAATACGACTGAAAACATTCCTGTTTCAGTTTGTGACATTCATTTGCAGCATCTCACACTCCTGAGTGAGCAAAATGATTTACGGCTGGGGAAGAGGCCACACTAGCATGATGTGAAACCTTGTGAACCCACTTAGAGCAAGTGACAGTCAACAGGAGCACAGATGCTTTGATGATTAGATGAAGGAGCTGATCTCTGGGTCATGGTTTTAATCCCAGGTAAGATAACATGGGATAACCCTTCTGCAAGCCATACAAAGATACGGATGGGAAAGACGGGATGCCTCTCAGGCACCCACCTCAACCTGCAGCTAGCGAGACTAAGTAGTAGATGTGCACACTAAGTTTACAGATCTGAAAGCAAACCAACCCTTAATATTTGTTCCCTCCTCAGAACCATGAAAAATGTCACTTTTGCTGGTAAATAAACAGCCTTAAAAGAACAAGAGGTCCACTTGAATTTAAAAATAAACAAAGGCAGGAGAAGCAGGAAGCACATACTGAAAGAATTCCAACTTCTTTTTAACTCCTGTTTCTTTAATTCTACATTCCTGGTCTCCAAACGTTCAGCCACTGCACGGATGTCACAGGGTAGTAACATATGCAGAGAGATGCATGCCCATGTTTGACTAAACAGGCTGCTGGGGAAGCCTGCTCTGTCACCAACTTATCCTTGACAGGGCTATGAAGCATGTGAGCGGCCAGCAGTAAAATCTACATTTCCCTGAACAATCCAGGGTTTGCAGGTGCCTTTGACAGGGCCAGCTTTTCAACCGTACTGATGCAGCATCCATTTGAGGGTGCACGGGCATTACTACTGTAACCTATTTCAACAAGGTACAAACGCCTTTGCTTTTACTTTCTGCAAACAAGCTGTGTATGTAAACCCAAGCTTTCCTCCCCGACGGCTTCTGGCCTAGCTGGTTAATTCAGTCAGGAGCTCCCGTCTTGCTCTAAAGCAACTGTTCCGTTATTAACTTACACAACGGGAGGTGGCAGAGCTCACGTCGCCGCGCGACGACCGCGACGGGCTGCGGGGAGCACCAACGGCTGCTGGCCCCGGCCCGCCCTTCCCCGCGGGTTGTCCCCGGCAGCTGCAGGCAGGCGCCGGGAAGCTGCTCCCGTCCGCCTTAACGTGCACCTCCGTGACGCCGCTGCTGGCCGCGCTTCGGCGCTCCGGCCTGATGCGGATAAGCCGCCCCGCACCGCCGCAGGGGGAGCGAATAACGTGAGCTAACAATGGGAGCTCCGTCGCGCCGCGGCGTGCCCGGGGGTTCCAGAACGTGCTAAGGGGCAGTAGTGCAGAACTGAGCCTGCGAGCGCTTCGAAGCCATTTTTAAATTCCTTGGGAACTGGATGAGAAAAGCAAACCACAGAAACAACAAAAACAAACCAAACCCCAAACTACCCCCCCCCCAAAAAAATAAAAACCAACCAAAACCAAACCACACCCCCCCAAAAAAAAAACCAAAAAACAACAAAAACCAACCAAAACCAAAGCAAAGCAAACAAAACCCCACAACAGAACCCCACAAAAATAGAAGGGGAGGGTTGTGAGGCCTCACTTGCAGCACCGTGCACAGTTCCCCTGTCCTCAGCGGAAGAAGGACATGGAGTTGTTGGAGCAAGTGCAGAGGACGCCACAACAGACCAAGACAGGCTGAGAGAGTTGGGGCTGTTCAGCCTGTAGAAGAGAAGGCTGTGTGGAGACCTCATAGCAGCCCTTGCAGCTCCTGCAGGCTTTGCTGAGTAACCCCCTTAGCTTGTGAGTGCAGTATTAAATCATCTCAGTCAAATACACTCTGTTAATCTAAAACACAATAAATGAACACATCTCTGATGCGGTGCGAGTTACCAGTTCCACAAATTGCTCATGCGCTGAACAAGAGGATTTGCTCAACCCTACGCTGGAAACTACTCACCAGGTGATTGCTTGGTGAGAGCTGATCCCTGCAACTCAATTTCTGAGATTCCCTGCCACTTCCACAGTCTTCTGTGATGTTTGGTTGAAGATTTTCTGTGGAAAGGGCGAATCCTGTGTCAGGTTCCTGTTGAAGAAAGCTTTCCGTCACGATAGCCTGATCCCCTACAGCGCTGGTGGGTGATCGACTGGTCTCCAGGGGCAGGCTCTGCACACATAAATAGTGGAATGCTGTTATTTCACAAAAAGGATACCGTATCAAAAGGCACAGAAATTAACAAGAATTCTAGATCTTTCTCCCCATCAGCCGTGCACAAACCAAAACAAGCTTCCAGCCTGTTCCATGGGAGGTTAGCGTAACACGCCTTGTGCAATGCGTTCAGCTGCCTCATTTTCAATCTTCCCACACACAGCTCCACATTCTTCTGCGTTTTCCTCAAAGAGCCGCAGGCACGAGATCCTGAACCAAAACATACTGCCTGAATGATTTCATTTTGGTGCAGCTGAACCTGTGGAGCTTATGGATCTTCAGTATACCACTTCCTACAGGAGACTTGAGATCCATCAAACAGCACTGAACTCGGAATCAAAACTGCACCGTCGTTTCCAACTTGAAAGCCCAAGTAACCGTTTTGCTGCCTGTACTGACTGGGGACACAATACTGCCCAGCCTCTTTCCACCTAACCCAGGTTCCCAGCCTGAACTTGTGCGCTTAAGAGCTTGCAGAGACACAGATTATGGCAAGAATCGGCGTGCCCTTCTGCAAATCTGACTTTGCAGACCGTTACCCTGCGCTTGCAGAGTACACGTATCAAGCCAAACGTGTACGTCAGCGCTCTCCTCTAGGAAAAGTTCTGGGCTTCTCCACCTTTCTTCCTTTAATACTGGCATGTGACCGTCAAGTCTACCTTAAATGCTGCTTGTGACATGCGTTATAACAACACGTGGCAGGACCTACTTACAAGCAGCTGCCTTATGAGGAGGAGCTGAAACAGACTCAGTGAGTCTGCCCGACACTCTTCTGTTCCTCACCTGCTTGGCTGTTTTGGCCTTCCTTTCGAGTTAAAACAGGACTCACACCTCACCCACCAGGACTGCAGCTGAGAATCCCCTTAGCTCCAGTGTGATCTTCAGATACAGTGGAGGTGGTGGTGGGGAAGAGGAGATGGGGAAATATAATTCTGGTTCATACAATTCTAGTACATATCTAATTCTGGAGTATTCATTTCTCATTGGAGCTTTCTGTAAAACTTCACACAACTAAAGCCAATTTTCAACAGCGGCTTTGGGCTGCTAGAAACCAAATGCTGTGCCTAGAGGAGATTCTGCCCAGCCTCTTTCCACCTACCCTGGGTTCCCAGCCTGAACTTCTGCAGTCACTGGCAAGAAAATCCAAGGTTTAATGAGTGTGGAATTTTCTGCTTCCTCACCTTTAAGCGTGCAGTTTTGGTTTCAAGCACACCAGCTCCTGAGTCCCCACGTTATTATATGGGATGCTGAATTATGTAAAAAATAAATCAATCCATGTTTATTTCTTGGCAAATTTCCTTTCAATCAAGCTTGCCGTTTCCCAGTTATCACCGCTCATTGCCCACTTACGCTGCACTCTCCTCTTCGGGCAGTCCTAAGGATCCACTGAA